TGTCTTTTAATTAATTAATTTGGTACAGGGTCTCGCTATGCATCTCAGACTCATAGTGATCCTCCTGTTGAAGCCTCCCCAGCACTGGGATTACAGTTGTGCACCACCACACCTGGTTTCAGTGGTTGACACAGCATGTAGTACCAGGGATTGAACTTGGGCCCTTGTGCTTGCCAGGCAGGTGCTTAGGCCTCTGACCTATCTCCCCAGCCCTGAGTTTCTTACATAGCTTTAAGAGTTAACCTATGTAAGTATAGTAGTGCCTACCCATCTAGTTTCACTTTCTGTGCCTTCAGTTATCCATGGACTACTACAGTATGAAAATATAAAGTAGAAGATTCCAGATACAAACAAGGCCTAGGTTTTAAATTGCACCATTCTGAGCAGCATCGTGTGCTGTCTTGTGCCATCTCACCTAAGAACTGAATCATCCCTTTGTCCCGGGTGACCTTTCTGTATATTAACCTGCTGTCTGGGCTGGGGCTTTTCAGTGCTTCTATGAGACAACTTTCCAAAGTGCAAGCGTAGTGACACTGGCAGTTCACATATGCCAGGGGTGCTTTGTTTAGGTGAAAAGCTGAAGGACAGTGAGATCTTGAGAGACACATACCACAACAGGTGCCTGCCTTGCCAACGCAAGGTCCCAGGTTCCATCCCCGTCCGCACAACAACAAAAACAAAAAACAACGGCAGTATAGTATACTGTTACAAATGTTGTTTTGTCATTAATCTCTGCTGTGCTTGGCTTATCAGTTAAACTTGATTATATTATGTAGGTACAGACAGTGCCCAACTTGGGCTGGCTTTCAGTTTCCAAATTTTCAGGGGCTTACTGGGGCGTTAAATGCATTTTCTAGGGGCCAGGGAGATGGGTGGAATAAGTGCTTCCCTGGCAAGCACAAGGGCCTGAGTTCAATCCCTGGTTCTGCCAAAAATAAGTAAGTAAGTAAATAAATAAATAAATAAATGCATTTTCCACTTAGGATGGGTTTATTGGAACACACCCCAGTTGTGAGTCAAGGAGCTACCTGTGTAGGAAAAAGCACAGGAGATGTTTGGTGGGCCTTGGTTCTGTCTGAGATTCCAAGGCATCTACTTGGACTCTGAAAAGTCCTTGTTCCCAGCAAAAAGGGCCGGTGGGGCAGGGACCTGTGTGACAGAACAGCTTCCCAAGTGGACGGGTTCATTTCCCAGTGGAGGCTTAGACGTTAACTGCTGAGGAGCGGTTGCTGAGTTATGTTTGAATTATAGAACTGGTCTGTTCTTTTCTTTTTCATAAAGCACAGCTGAAGAGCATGTGCCAGCATGGCCTAAAGAAATTGTGTACTATTTAATAGGGTGTGGCTGTTGCTGGGTGGTTGGCAGTTAAGTAAGGAGGCTCTTGTTGGTGTAAGGCAGATTCCTCTTGCAGCAAGATCAAATTCTCATGAAAAGGTGTAGTGGCATCTCGCCAGATACCTGTGGCTTGATCAAAAAACAGTGAAGGGGCCAGGGAGATGGCTCAGTAGAATAAGCACTTGCCTGGCAAGTGCAAGGGCCTGAGTTCAACCCCCAGTTCTAAAAAAAAAAAAAAATGAGTTCAAGTCCAGGCTGGGCTACATAAGCAAGTCCAGGGCCAGTCTGCACCACATGGACAAGACCCTATGTCAAAACAAAAACAAAACAACAGAAAAGAATTGCTTTCCGTCATTGGATTAAGCAGTTATGAATTTATAACATTGAAAACAGAATTATGAAAATAAAGCATCTTGAATAAATTAGTATTTAAGTTTTAACAAAAGAAGCAAGTCAGTGGTAGAGCACCTGCCTCAGGTACCCCAGCCTCTAGGTCCGGTTTCTGGCAGAGAGCCCCCCACCCCACCCCATCACTTGTGCGGCTGGGTAACGGCACCCCGGCAGGCTCGGTCCAGGAAGCCATGCTTGCACCCCTCGGCCTCTCAGTTTCCGTCACTAATCTGAAGCCTGCTATATGGGGATTGGTGCAGCTCATTTCTGCCTGCTTTTATAGAGTGACAGAGAGACAGTGCCTCATGTGTTGTCCTCTGTGTGCAGTAAGCTCCACTGTGCTCCTTGCGCTGTGCACAGAGGATTTCCTCCAGTAAGGTTTTGCTTCACTGTTAATGTATCTGCACAGCAGAAGAGTATTAAACCCTTCACCTCTGAGAGTCCAGTTTCCCATTATCTGGAGCCTCGGTTCCCCCCTAGTTGTAGTACTAGAAAGATACATTTATGTCCCTCCCATCCATTACAGTTAACTTGCCACATCCCTCTTGCTTTCAGAAGGTTAGCTTGTGTTTTGACCCTTTGGATTTATGATATTGATCTAAAATATATAAAGTGAGACTCTGCGCTAGCAACCATGCCGTCCAAGGGTCCGCTGCAGTCCGTGCAAGTCTTCGGTCGCAAGAAGACAGCCACAGCGGTGGCACACTGCAAGCGGGGCAATGGCCTCATCAAGGTGAACGGGCGCCCCCTGGAGATGATCGAGCTGCGCACGCTGCAATATAAGTTACTAGAGCCTGTTCTGCTTCTGGGCAAGGAGCGGTTTGCTGGTGTTGACATCCGTGTCCGTGTAAAGGGTGGTGGTCATGTTGCCCAGATTTATGCTATCCGTCAGTCCATTTCCAAAGCCCTGGTGGCCTATTACCAGAAATATGTTGATGAGGCTTCCAAGAAAGAGATCAAAGATATTCTCATCCAGTATGACCGGACCCTGTTGGTAGCTGACCCTCGACGCTGCGAATCCAAAAAGTTTGGAGGTCCTGGTGCCCGTGCTCGTTACCAGAAATCCTACCGATAAACTCACCATAAGAATCACCATTTGCCTTTGTAATAAACATGGGATTTTGAGGTTGTAAAAAAAAATAAATAAAAAAAAATATATATAAAGTTAAAAAAATTAGTGTTTAATTTTTAAATGTTATTATGGGGGCTGGGGAGATAGCTCAGTAGAATAAGCACTTGCTTGGCAAACACAAGGTCCTGAGTTCAATCCCCGGTACCACAAAAAATAAATAAATAAAATAAAATAAATGTTATTATGGGCCGGGGAAATAGCTCAGTAGAATAAGTGCCTGCCTGGCAAGTGCAGGGTCCTGAGTTCAGTCTCTGGTACCACAAAAAATGTTAATATGGAATTATTGTTAGTGATTTTTCAAGCTTTATTCAAAGCTAACAACTTGTTGCCTTTTACTCATTTTTGGCTACATAAATAGATGAAAGGTGACTGCTCTGTTTCATGTGATGAAAACACATGAAGGAATACCTTCATGAAGCAGGGGCCATGTGTCTCAGAATTAGGGTTTTATTCTTAGAAAAACAGTAAAAACATTGGCACAATTTTTATGTTTAATGTAGAGAAAAAAATATCTCCCTTTGGGTTCAGGATACTTTCACATAACTATTAGACTAGTTTGCTTTATTAAAAAGACAATTTCCTGGTCTTAATGAAACTTAGATAGCTGTACTGGTCACTTTGCTACACGTCCCCTTTGACTAGTTGCCTGTCTTCCTGCCCACGCCTTGAGGAAGGTGCTATTGTAACCCACCTTATGGTTAGGGGGTGCTACTACTGATAGGATGAGCACCCGTCTGTGGGTCTGGGTCACACGATGTGAACAGCGACAGGGGCCACCAATCTCTGGTTCTCGAGAGCCAGATTTTCATCCCTTAAGTAGGTTTGTTTGCCAATTTAAAAACTTACTTCTGAGATGATTAGTAAAAAACTTCAAAAAATAGTATTTATCACTTATCTTGCAATTGCTTCTATAGCACTTACTGCCAAAAATAGTAAGGTTATTGTGCATGAGAATGGATTACCACTGCAGCCTTATTTTTAATGAGTTGAGCCAGTTTTGTTCCGTTCGTGATGTAAAGTGAAGCTCTGACAATTTCACTTTCTTGTGATGTGACACTGTTTTACATTATGCATGTCATACTCAAAGAATTTGCTTTAAAGTTAAGCAGCTGATTTCCTTATATGTTCTACACAGAAATACATTTAATTAATGTAATTATCTCTTAGCCAAGTGGGAAACTTTTAAATGCAAATAAAGGTTAGAGTTATGTGTTTAATAGCTTTTCATACAAATGTGTGAGCGTGCTTTCTTACCTACTAGCTACACATACTGAAAACTTCCTTAAAGTAAAACTTAAAGGACGCTCTTCCATTATATAATGAATATCTATCATTGATGGATAAAGCTTTTATTTTTGTGCGGAACTGGGGATTGAACTCAGGCCCTTGCGCTTGCCAGGGAAGCACTTATTCCACTGAGCCATCTCCCTGGCCCCTGGATAAAGCTTTAATATGCTTAAAGTTATCCAGGGACTTAACTTAATATAACATGTCCAATTAAATATTGGATAAAGGGGCATCTTCTTTCTTTTAACAACAAATAAGTAATGGCTTTATTTGCTAAATATAGTATTTTTTTCTTAATTAAAAAAAACCCTATTTATTTATTTATTTATTTGGTACAGGGTCTCACTACTCATCTCAGACTCATAGCTTCTTCTGTGTCAGCCTCCCAGCACTGGGATTACAGGTGTGTGCCTCCACACCGGGTTTCAGTGGCCCACATGGTGGCACAGAATGCAGTACTAGGGATAGAACCTAGGGCCTTATGCTTGCAGGCAGGTGCTTAGATCACCAAGCTATCTCCCTAGCTGTATGTTTTATATATTGGTCTCTTTAAAAAAAAAAAGCACTTACTCTTTTTTTTTTTTTTTTTTTTTTTGCAGAAAAGAGTAACACTGCATTGATGTATCTATTACACACACTTGGACATTTGTATTAAAACTTAAGTGTCTAGGGAGAAATGTAATTTCTTTCTTTATCTCACCTTCCTAAAGTTGGCCCCTTCATGGTTATCCCAGAGCAGCTCCCATTTTAACTATGTTTTTTAAAAAAGACTTTGTGCTTTTGTTACTGTATTTCTAAGTAGCATTTAACTTGCAGTGCCTGGAAGTTCTTAAAGTGCCCTCTCCTCTCTCAATAGCAAATGAAGAAGCACCCATGCCGCCAGTGTGACAAATCCTTCAGCTCCTCCCACAGCCTGTGCCGCCACAACAGGATCAAGCACAAAGGCATCAGGAAGGTTTATACCTGCTCGTAAGTTGTGATCTTCAGTGTGGAAGTATGGGGAAAGGGTTGCCAGCGCCTTTCAGAGTGTTTTGTTTGCTTTTGTTGTACTACAGATTGAACTCAGGAAATACCCAGTTTTTAAAAATTTGAGACAAGTTCTTGCTGAATTATCCAGAATGGCTTCGAGCCTGTAATCTTTCTGCCTCAGCCTCCCAGGTAGCTGAGATGATAGATGTGTACCACCATCCTCAGCTGTGTTTTCATACTTTACCCTTAAACTTTTGACTCCTCTTCATCGCTCCAATTTTAGATTAGATATTTTTTCTTTCTTTTTTTGTATTTAGTACAGGGTCTACAGGGTCCTCGCTACGTAGATCGGACTTCTAGTGATCCTCCTATTTTTAGCCTCCCAAAGCACTGGGATTACAGGCGTGCACCAACACACCCAGTCTCAGTTGCTATCTCAGTGTGCCCCAGGGGTGGGGCCAGCATGGTTTGTGGTGCCAGAGATCGAACCCCAGCCCCTGTGCTCTGCCTAAGCAGGCACTTTAATCTGCTGAGCTATCTGGTCAGCTCTTAGATTAGATTTTTTGACTGTATTCCATTTTGGCATACAGTCTTATCGATTGGGTCATCTGACTTGTGTAGACCACATACATCAGATTTTTATATTATTCAGTGACATTTTTATTGCTGAGAATTGGGAGTGGAGGTGTCTGGTTTACTGGTGGGGAGTAGAGACATTTTTGTCCCTGCACATAGTGATTGGGCAGCATCATAGATTGACTTGACAGGTCAGTTTGCTCAGGTTCAGAGGAGGCCTGGAAAAGGTCCAGTCCAGACCAAGTCCTAAGCCCGTGGGGAATACTTGCTGTTGGCTGAGACCAGACACATGTAAGGAACCAAGTGGGCCATAAACTCTCATAGGTCAGTGGCTGGCTGGCTGTTCATATGTACAGGCCAGATGTGCTATGTTATCGTTAATGGACAATCTTTGTCACCCACTCAAGAGGGTTGTTAGAACAAGGTGCTCCTCTTGAGAGAGATCTCTAGGTTCCTGAGTCTAGAGAGCCAGTGTGTGATGCTGCACCTAGAGGGTCAGAGCAGGCGCTGTGGGCTTGTGCACAGGGACAGGCATGAAGCTGGCTGTCACCCCAGAGAGGGTTTGCGGGGGTTGGTGAGTTAGGGGAGGTTCTCTAGGTAGCCAAGCAGGAATGGAATTAAAGAGGTAAGTGACTGTGGTGAGGTGACAGTGTCCCCTAGTCTGCGTGTTGAGACTGAATAAAAAGAATCAGAATTTAAGATGCCTGGACTGTGAAAGGAGAGAATGGAGTGGCCTGCCCATAATCCTTCATCGATAGGTCTTGTTTCTTTCCCTGTGAGGTTACTGTGAGGCAATAAGGTGACAGGACTTCCTACTTAATTCACTGTGGGCAAAAGCCTCCTCATGCGTCAAGAGCCTGTGTTCTGTGGTGCCAGCTCTGTCATGCCCTCAGAAGGTCTCTTATGTGAAGTCATCAGTTTCTGGGCCTGTCATTATTGGACAGTAGCAGTTTTGGTTCAGATAAGACCAGGCTTTCTGCCACTTCACTGCAGTGGTGTTCTTGATGTGATACATAGCATCTGTAATCAGCATGGTCCTTAACATTTCTAAAACTATTCTGATTTAAGAAAACAGTAGAGGGGCTGGTGAGATGGCTCAGTGGTCTAAAGCACCTACTTAGAACAAGCTTAGCAAAGCACAGGGACCAGGGTTCAAACCCCCAGCACCACATGTCAGCCAGCCCCGCCCCCTGGTGGACTGAGCTACACACACACACACACACACACACACACACACACACACACAAATAAATAAAATTTTTTTTAAAAAGAAAAGAGTAGACTCTTATCTTTGAAACTGTTGTCATAATGACAGTATTTTTGGCACAAGATAAAATGAAAACTTCAATAATTGGCCTGTTATGGATCAGTGTAGCTTTCTACATTTTCACCTGTGTGTACTGGTGAAGGAAGCACACCTGTGCCAGGCCCCAGAGCTAGGGACATGCTCTGAGCGTGGCCTGTTTGAGGGCTGTGGAGGTAAGCACCAGGTCACGCCTGTGCTCTGGGGAGACAGCTGGGTTGGGCGCTGCCCCCTCACTGCCAGCCGAGGGCAGGGGAATTCACAGCTGTGAGCTTGGCCTGGGGGGATGGTCTGTCTTCTGGCTCTTATCATGGTCTAAATACCGAAGGTAGTCTCAGTTGTGAAGAAAACTTTGAAAATTTAATATTTTGTTTTAAAATTAAGTTCAGTATAGAATTACACATTAAGTCATACTTTGACTAAACCTAGAATTTTCCAACTAAAGCAAATTAGTCTAGTTCTAGTCAAACAGAGCTTTTTATACAGGTCGTTTTTTAAAAACCCTTTTCCCAAACTGGGAACTGTGGCCCATAGCAACATTGCTTGTTTCTCCTTGAGCCACGGGTGCTGATTTAGCTCATGGTGGCTGTCTACGGGTTCTGGGGCTTTCGCACCAGCCCTCCAGCTGCAGCCGTCCACCATAGCAGGGTGGTGTCCCCTTTCCTGCCCCACAGGCACTGCCCAGACTCTCGGAGGACCTTCACCAAGCGACTGATGCTGGAGAAACACATCCAGCTGATGCATGGAATCAAGGACCCAGATGTCAAGGAGATGTCTGAAGCCACCAATGAGGAGGAGACCGAAATAAAGGAGGACACCAAGGTCAGACATTACAGCTGCTTTCTCCACAATGTTGACCTGTTTGTCCATGCTTTCTCTTCATCTAGCCATGCATGCAGTTACAGTTAAAAGCTTAAGGTCATACATGAAAGTATAAGTGATGGTGAATCCCCCTCCATACCCGTTTTGACCCCTTAGCATCTCCTGAAAGGCGACTTTTCTTAACTTTCTTCTGTGCCCTTCCAGAAACACCTCTAGGGGTCTGCCTGCTCATGTAGCTTACACATGTTACGTTGACTTGGGGAAGTTGTCTCTTAGTCAGAGGGATCTATTAAAGCTAGATTCCTTTTTCTTTGCAAATACAACAGCACAGATTCAGTTATTATTTGTTATGTTTCTCCCCGGAAGGTCCCAAGTCCCAAGCGGAAGTTGGAAGAACCGGTTTTAGAGTTCAGACCTCCCAGAGGAGCCATCACTCAACCACTGAAAAAGCTCAAGATCAATGTGTTCAAGGTTCACAAGTGCGCGGTGTGCGGCTTCACCACCGAGAACCTGCTGCAGTTCCACGAGCACATCCCCCAGCACAAGTCAGATGGCTCCTCCTACCAGTGCCGGGAGTGCGGCCTCTGCTACACGTCCCATGTCTCGCTGTCCCGGCACCTCTTCATCGTGCACAAGCTCAAGGAGCCTCAGCCGGTGTCCACGCAGAATGGGGCCGGGGAGGACAGCCAGCAAGAGAACAAGCCTGGCCCCGGGGACGAGGCCCCTGACGGCGCCGCGTCAGACAGGAAGTGCAAGGTGTGTGCAAAGACCTTCGAAACAGAAGCTGCCTTAAACACGCACATGCGGACACACGGCATGGCCTTCATTAAGTCCAAAAGAATGAGCTCCGCTGAGAAATAGCCGCACATGTTCCACACGGAAAATCCTGTCCACATTGGAATTAAACAAACATTTTTGTTACGAGTTTGCAGTATAATAGAGTTGACAGTACTGTCTAGGCTGTTGCAATATATTTCCTCCCAGTGTACCCTCCTCACCTCAGATTATCTCCTCCATAAGTATCATGACAGTATTTGAGTTTAAAAGAGTTTGTATATATTTAAATGAATAACTTTTATACTCTTTGTTACATGTTTGTATCAGTATTTAGTGGAAAATGTTTTGAGTTTTTTGGGTTAGAATTTTTCTTTTTGTACTGTTTCTTTAAAACAGAGTTCTTAGGGGCAGTTCCTGAATTCAGATAAACCATTTTGTATGTTACAAATTTGAATGGGTTCACTAATCAGAGGCTAATATTAATGCCTTTTTTAGTGTTTTTAATTTTTAGAATTCACTACATGAAGTGTAGGTGATCGTGGTCTCAAAAACACTAGGAACTTTAAGTGTCTTAGCGCTGCTCCCAGCGTGCCTGCCCACCAGCCCGGCCGGGAGACAGCTGCACTCACTCAAGGGCGGCTCCGACCGCGCCCAACCCAGCGCCCAACCAGGTATGTTTAAAGTAGCCTTGCAGGGACCTTCTCCCCAGCAGTGGGTAAGATGGCTCAGTAGGATAAGCGCTTGACTGGCAAACGCAAGGATCTGAGTTCAATCCCTGGTTCCGCCAAAAAAAGAAAAACAAACACGAGGCTGATCATTTGAGGGCACATCTGCAAAGCTGACTCAGGAGTACAAGGACGTAAGGCTTTCACAGGGCTGGACTACTGTAAAGGTTACAGATATGCAGTTGGAACAGTAGATGTCCAGTCAGGCTTTTGTCATGTAACTTACTAACTGTCACACAAAGAAGAGTATCAAGTGTTTCTTTGGCTCTTGATAGGAGAAAAAAAGTCATAGTTGACTTAACCCTTTGCTGTCTAACCAGTTGGCGTTTCCTGTTCTGGGTGCTGCTGCCAGACGTTCTGGTACTTAGAGTTGGGATGCACAGCTTTAACCACCGACTTACAGTGCAGCAGCCTGCACGTGCAATTGGCCATTAGATGAAGCACTGAGCCACCTGGGTTTTCTTTAGTCACTTCAGTAAGTACAGCTCGCATCTGTAGTCCCGCTTATTGAAGCATCACAGAGGTACTCTTCTGTCCCTTCTGTTTGTAGTTCTCTGGCAGTTCAATGTATGTGTGTTTTTTTTGTTATTGTTTTGTGGTTTCTTTTGCATTTTATATCTTGTATTTATCCCTGAACATGTTTTTTACCTTTTTTTTTGTAAGAAAAATTCTTTTGTGTATATATAGATACTTGCATGATAGAATGTAGTCAGTGTTTGGTTCCTCAGAAGGTCTTGCTGCTGTCAGGTGTTACACACTGCATCCATCATAACTGTATTAAACACATTTAATATGTAAATAAACGTGGGACATTTGGCCCTTGTGCTTCTGTGAGAGAGTTATTGATGGTGGGTCTCTGACACCTTCCTGAAGTTAAGGAAGTGATTTATTGCTGGGACAGACCAAAGGGTACTGCCAAATTCTTCCTGCTCAGAAGAATGGTGTATTCATTCTCATTAATAATCAGCTATTTGTCACTTCCTTTTTGACTCCATCAGTACAATCCAAGGGTGTGATTAAGTATTCCTCAACTTGAAGTTTGATTGCTGTTACTCGTTACAGTTATATTTGTATTGCTCTAAGTTGTAATCATAGCACTTTCACATGTTTCTGCATTTGGACCTTGCAATAAACCTATGTGGAGGGCCGCATGGGTCTGTATAGCCTAGTTTTACAGTTGAGGAAGCTGAGCTTAGATTAAGTTCTTTGCCTGAGCCCTCATAGCTGGTAAGTGGCTTTGCATATTAGAACCCAAATATTTTGCTCTAAATCTAGTGCTCGCTCTACGTGGTTATGTACATATGGACAAATATTCATTTATTCAACAAATAAAAGTATGTGTAAAACATGTTACTAGGTCTTTTGTTTTTGGCATTATGACTTTTATAAGATAACCTGAAAGTCTTTCTACTTTTGGATACCCAGAAATGCTTGGTAATATGGAATTGGTGTATTAACCAAAATTCACTACACTAGAGGGAAACCCTGGTGCTCGTAAGACAAGTCTGCTGCTCGGACTATGAACTGGAAGTCAGAGCGTGCAGAAATTACCTAGAATACAGCACAGAGATAAGGAGAAGGAACATACGGGTTAGAAGTCAAGAGTGGCAAAGTGAAAAGCTCCAGCTTTGGTTTAATAGTTCGGAAAGAGGGACAAGACAGAATTCAGCAAGATTAATATGGAAAATTTTAGCTGTTAATGAAATACACGGATACGTGGGTTAACAGTCAGCAAGAACACACATGTTGGGGCTTCAGTTCTGGGCATTCTTCACTGGTTGAACATGCTAGACATGGGCCTTGGAGAGAGGAGACAGACCAACGGCAGAGCCCGTGGGGGCTGCTCACTGAGTGCTTGGCAAGCTCACTTGCTTTGTAGTGGCCTGGTGGGAGCTGAAACCACACAAGTAGGGTTAGGCCAAGTTATAGAAGCCTAAAAGCAGGTATGGTTTCACCTGCAATGCCAGCACTCTGGGAGAGGAGCCAGGGCAGAAGGATCAAATGCAAGTGTAGCCTCAGCAACTTAGCAACTTATCTCAAAGGAATGGGCATCTATAGCTCTGTACAAAGACCCTGAGTTCAATCCTTGTACCAACCCTCCCAAGATAATAAACAGAGGCCTGAAGGGCACACTAAAGATTCATCCTTTGATACTTAGAAACAGATTGCTTGGCCTGAGGAATAACATAAGCAGCAGAACTGGCAGCAATGTTTAGGATGGGTAAAGTGTATCAGTCAGGCCAGGTGGGCTACGCTGTCTGTGCAACTTCACATCTGAATGGCTTGTCACATCTAATCTGCTTATCTTCAGTGTCCAGTGTGGACTGTTGGGCAGTGTGGTTTCCTATCTTGATTTCATTTTCCCATTATTAAAAAATGACTGGTTACTGTGGTAGAAAGCAAGTGTGATTAAACACTCCAGGCCAGAACTGACAAACACCGCTTCTCAATCTGGTCAAATCCAGCCATGCGGATTTTCACTGTCACAAAGAGGCCAGAAGGTGCAGGCTGCCATGTGCCCAAAACACTGAAACATTTGAACAGCATACACAACCATCACCAGAACAGTTTAGTTAGTGTAGCTCTGGTACTGACCTGGTATGAGGACCTGACCTAGGTATGGGAACAGGCTTGAGAGAAGCTTCAGTTGTAATTAAAATGTCCAAAACAGTATCGGAAGTATTTCACACAGTGGAGTACAGGGAAGGATGTCAGATTTGAAAGTTCAAATTTAGGTGATTTTGTCACTTTTTCTGAAGGTTTAGATTAAATAGAAATAAGTAGGGCTGGGGAGATAGCTCAGTAGAATAAGTGCTTGCCTGGCAAGCACAAGGGCCTGAGTTCAATCCCCGGTTCCACACAAAGAAAAAAAAAAGAAGTAAAAATTAGAACCTGGTTATGGAAAAGATACTATGCTTTGAGTTTATATATAAGACAAGGTTTTGTTTCTTTTTTTCTTTTTTTTTTAGACAAGCTTTTGTTTCTGTGTGGTGGGTGATGTGCAACAGTGTATAACAGCAGTACATAAAGAACGGAAGCAAAATAAAAGGAAAGAGTGTGTGACATCCACCGCTTCTCCCTCTCAGACATGTTTTCTGCGGATTCCCAACTCCTGCCACAGTAGGTCATCTGAAGAAGGACTGTTCTCCCCAAGTCTCTGCCGGCTCCACTTCATCCCAGCCAGTGCACTATTGAGCTCCACCCCAGGAACTTTGACCAACAGTGAAATTTCCTCTTGAAAAATTTAGAAAGTCAGTATTACTATAAAATGTTCATATTAGTGTAATCATGCCCTGAGCACTTCAAAAAATGCCTACTTGGTAGGGGAAAATGCCTGAAGAACTTTGTAAAGTACGACTCGGAGGAACCTCTCACTTATCACATAGCAAGGTCTGAACATAAGAGGAGCATGCCAAATCAGACATGCGATGCTTCTTGTGCTGCATGCACACCCACTGTGCAGATTCCAGATGCTGTAAGGATTGCAGATTGTAGTTCCTAATCTTAGCATACACTGACGTAAGGAAACTTAGTTACCTTAAAAATTGAGTTCCTACACTGGCATTCTTAAGTTTCTGCAAAGGGGTTATTGAAGCTTCTTTGTTTGCTTAGGAAATTTTTCTCCCTTTATGGCTTTTACATTCTTACTAATTGTAAGCCATGGGGATATGACCACATGAATTTACTTCTCTGCAAAGATCATGATAACCACAGAGTGAAAAAATGTGCAGTGATACACAAAACAAATGCAAAGCATTCAACAAATACCAGTATACAAGTCATCAGAGTGCAAAGGATTTTTTTTTTGGGGGGGGGGCTGGCTCAGGCTGCCTTAAGGGTGGGTGTGGTGAGGCATGGGGAGCTGGGGATCGAACTGACTGGCCCAGCAGGTGCTTAAACTACTGAGCTAACCTGCAAGCCCCTCAGATTACAAAGCAAGACAGAGAAGCAGAAACAAATTATGTCCCACAAAACCAGAACACAAACCACAAAATGGCAGTAGTAAGTCCTCTGTACCACTCACTACTTTGAATGTAAATTGACTGTATTCTTTAAAAAAGAAAAAGGGCTGGCCAATCAGCTCAGTGGATTAAAGCGCCTGCAAGCAGGTGCAAGGGCTGGAGGTTCAACCCCCAGGCCTGTCGTGCCAGTGCCGCCCCCGGGGCGCACACAGATGGCAATTGAGACTGGGAGTGGTGACAGGAGCCTGTAATCCCAGCATTTGGGAGGCTGTAAACAGGCGGACCACTACAAGTCTGATCTAGTAGTCAGACCCTGAACACCCTGTAGACCCTTCCCTAAAATACAATAAATAAATAGAAAGAAGAAAAAAATGAGCAAGAATGATTGAGTGGGTTAAAAAGATAAGACCTAGCTATACACTGTGTACAGCACACTCACTTCACCTTTAAGAACTTTGTCTCAGTTACTTTTCTCTTGCTGCTGGTACAAAATACCCAAAATGAAGGAAGGAAAGGTTTATTTAGCTCACAGTTACTGAAAGTTTCAGTCCATGCTCAGCTGGCTTCAAGGCAGAGAGGCACAGGGCACAGAGGGCAGCTGTTCCGAGGCCAGGTGAGGAGCAAAAGCACAGGAGTGGCCGCAGCTCAGGCAGCTAGCCAGCCTCTCTCCCTGCCCTATGCCTTACGTTGTAATGCAGAGTATTAGCCCAGGGCACTCATGCCCATAATCCGAACCTTGGATCAAGAATCAGTCACAAACTCCAAAAGTTGCCCCTTGACTGCATGAGGCTTTGGAGGAATAACTAGACACCACAGCAGACATGCACAGAAGGTACAGGAAGAAAGATAGTCCATGAAAAAGGAAACGAAAAGAGAATGGGGGTAGCTATACTTGCACTGGACAAAATAAGACTTTAAGCAAAAAAAATAGAGACATATAATGACAAATTTATCAAGAGAATACATTTGTAAATATGTATTCACTCAATATTGCAGCATTTAAATATATAAAGTCTTAATAGACCTGAAGGGAGAGATAGGTCATAATACTAAAATAGTAAGGGGCTTCATTACCCTACTTTCAGTAATGGACATGCCCAGGTTAGACTTCAACTATACTCCAGACCTAAGGGACCTACAGACATGTACAGAACATTCCATCCGAAAACAGGACACTCAAGTACACAACTTTGTGCAGAAGAGATCACATACCACAAAACAAATCTGAACAGTTTAAGATGACTGAGAAGTATCCAGTGTTTCTTCTGACCACAGTGAGGAAATTCAGGGGGAATTCTGGGAAATTCACAGATATATCCAAATTAACACACTGTTAACATCAATATTAAAAAGCTTTAGATAAATAAAAATGGCAACAACATTCTGAAACCTGTGGGATTGCAGTAAAAGTGGTTTGAAGAGGCAAATATATAGCAATAAAATCTATGTAGAACCTCAACCTGCTCCCACAGGGTTCTAGCCTAGCAGTTGTAATTCCGTAATCACCGTTACCCTAAACGCATTCTTTCTGAATAGTCCAGCCTCCAGCACATGATTTGAGTGTGAGGCTGAATTTGAGACTGGCCAAATCAGGAGACTAGCTTCCCCCCCTTTTACTGTTTGTCTTCCCCAAGTATTATCTTCACTCCCAATTTTCCTTTGTTATGGTCTCTGGATTTTGGTGAATATTTTAGTAAAGATTCAATACACTGAATGATAAAACTCTCATAATCAACCTACACTTTTTCTGGGAGTTTTCATGTTTATATTTGGTGCTTTCTTTGGAAGAGTAGATCTGGGGAGTGCCTACCATTATATCTTGTTTCAATCAGGATTCCTGTAGGACACATTAAAAAAGGTTTGAATTTGAAGAAATTAAGGAAGTAACTATACATACATCTGCGAGACACTGAGGTACCAAGGACTGGCAAGATGGGGAGCCACTCTCAGGAGTGAGAAATGGAAAGAGGCCCAGAAACTGGTGCCACTGGGAGGAAGTAGGGAGGCAAATTACCAGGACTGTGTCTCCCCACGAATATTCCTCGCCGGCCCCCATAGGTCGGAGCTAAGTAGAGGACAGGAAAACAGGAAACTACAGTGACGGACTGTAGATGTCAGCGTGCGGGGCACAGAGGAGGACGGGGGAGGGCGGACTTGAGACCTGTTTGCTGCCTGACACACATCTGTCTCCTCCAGGTAGGCTGTCATATGGAACAGTGTGTCTAGGAGCATGCATTTATCCTTTTTTCTAATCATCTCACAAGGTTTGTCTTGGAATTATACCTTATTTTTACTTAGGGAAACAGAATAACTTTTCCCAGAAAATAGCCTTTGCCAGTTTCTAAATCCAGTGTATGAGGTGAGTTCTGAGTCATAATGCAGCACTAC